TCATTTCTTGACAACTTTTTGTTTTCCTAGACTGGCTAATCTTCATAGAAACATCTTCCCACACCCTGAAGTAGGTCTGGGCCCGTGAAATAGCCTTTAATGTAATTGTCTGTAACGTCGAATTTGTTCCGTGGTTTTCAGCCTCACTTTTGTCTTTGTTTCTGTACCTCTCTTGGGAGCCCTTCGACCCTCTGTGTTCTGAATGGGCTGCTTTCTGGTCTTCTGCACAAAGACTGCCCTGGGCCTTCCTTCCCCATCCTTCTGAGAATTCCCTCCTAGGCTGGCACCCTTGTTTTACGGATCTGATATCTTCCCTTTTCTGGTGTCCTGCCTCTTTCTTGGTGGAGCAGATCCTGCAGTAGCTTCATGGAAATGGTTCATGCGAGAGAAATTTGGGGGGGGCTCTTTGAATATGAGAATATCTTTATTTTACTATCATAGCTGCTTGATAGTTTTGCTGAGTATAAAATTCTAGGAGAAAAATCTTTTCCTTCAGAATTAAGTCCTTATTCTTTCATTCTTCTAGCTTCAGATGTTGTTCTTGAGAATTTTGGTACCATTCTTATTCCTTTGCTTTGTTATATATATTGGTTTTCTTATTAGTTATCTTTCTGGAAGCTTTTAGAGTCTTCTCTTGATTTCCCATGTTTTGGGTTTCAGTGATATACCTTGGTGTGGGGCTTATTTTATTCACTGTACTACTAGGTTCTTGGTCTTTAGGAGACTTGGGACCTATAGATCTGGGACACTATCTAATAGCATTTTGGTTTTTTTGGTAATTTCTTTCCCTAAAAATCTGAATTCCTTCTTCTGCTCTTCTTATTTTTCTCTTATTATCTATTGTTATTGGAATTTTCACATTTTAAGAGCTCTTTCTTGTGCAATACTTTATTCTTTCTGAGAATATCCTATTCTTGCTTCATGTAAGCAAGATCTCCTGTTTCGAAGGACAGTAATGTAGGGGGGTTTTTTTTTGAGTTTTTTTTTTAAGGCTTTCTCCTGTTCTCCATGATATTTTGAGAGCTTGTTTGGAGGTTCTAGCAGGGGAGCGCAGCTACTCGTATACCCTTGACCGAAGACCGGTCCTCTCCTCTAGTTGGGAAGGTCGTCCTCTTCGACCGAGCGTGCAGCTTCGGGAGGGACGCACATGGATCGGTGAGGGAGGAAGGGGACACCCCCCTAGCCAGCCAGATCAGCCGAATCAACCCTGGCGATCAATGGGGTGACAGATGTTGCAGCCAGATCGCCCTCACATCCATCCATGATATTTTGAGTTCATTGTTTGCTTGCTTGTTCTGGGCCTGGCAGCACTGTGCTCTAGAGCTGGATGGGCCTGGGCATCTCACTCTTCAATGTGCTGATACCCACTGAGCCCCTGTTTTTATCTTTCACGTCACACCTGCCCTGCTCCGTGTCTGAGCTCTGAAACCTCTGTGGTTTGTTCTTTTTTAGAGAAAGATTTAGGTCTTCTATGGAGTGAGGATGGGGACACGGGAATCTAACTTTTTTAATATACACATTTTTGAATCAATTCCCTGTGTGCAGTCCTGCCTCACCGTCACCTTCCAAGATACCTAAGAATCTAATTTCGGAGCTTTTCTAGGTTCTGCATCTCACGCTTCTCATTGGCGCGCCTCCAAGAGGGTAGCTTTTCCTCTCCGTGCTGAGTCATCCATCTGACTTCTGTCCTCTTATATTTGAATTTGGGGACTTTAAATGTCTTCCAGTTTTGTCAGAGATCAGGGTTGTTGTTTCTTTATCTTGTTTTCTTTGGGGGGAGTTTTTGAGCGAACAAAGAACCAACCTATTTATTTACTACATCATTTTGACACAAAAATCTATTTGATCTGAAATGGATGGTGTCAAGTTTTCTCTTTGTTAGGGATATGTAATTCCCACATTTATCTTCAGGAAAATTTAGTCTGTTAGAGGCATTTTTTTTTTTTAGGCAAAGTAATAATACATGTGACCTAATTGCCTTGAGAAAATTACATTAATTCTCGATTTATTTGTTGTCATGTTACAAATAATCATTCCATGTAGTGGAGGTTTCAAGAGTAGCTTATACTTTAAGGAATTAAAACTTTTGTTTCAACAACTGCTGATTGAAGGTTCTTTAAAATGTATGGAGCATTCCTCTGCATTATTAAACAGAATGGGGGGAATGCACCCCCCCCGCTCCTCAGAGATGTCACACAGCTGTCACTTACTGCCGTGTGGTGTCATTCGGGAACCTCTCTGGGGCTGGTACCTCCTCTCTCACTGAGTTCTTTCCAGGTACTTGCTTTGTACACTTATAATTGATTTTGCAGAGGTGGCTGTCATTTCCCAGAGGTGGCCGTCCTTGCCCTGTGAGTCAGTATCGGGAAGGGCTCTTCAGCCCCTGACAACTTAGTCATTTAACGGACTGCCTAGTGAGTTCGGGAAGAGCTGAGATTGGCAGCAGAAGCAAAACAGTCAGGCTGGCGAAACTGGGGACCTTTCCTTTAATTCCAGATCGCAGGCAGGGGACAGGCTGAGTGCTGGGAGCCTCACTCCTCCAAACCGCCAGGGGCCTCGATGGGTAGAGCTCCCGGACTGTGCGGCGGGTCTGCTCTCGTCTGCTTGGCCCAGCCTCGGCACCGCTGACATATTGGGTTGGGTGGTTCCTTCCGGTGGAGCTGTCCTGTCCATTGTAGAATGTTGAGCAGCATCCCTGGCCTCGGACCATTCGCTGCCAACAGCACACGCCTCCCCGATGGGTGACAGCCCCAGATGACTCCAGACACTGCCGGACGCCCCCGGCGGGGGCAACATGGACTCCTGTTGAAAACTTTACGCTACAGGTCTTCTCTTTTCTCAGAGTTTGCGACTCCGTTCTGGATATTTGAAGTTGTAGAAGATGTGGCAGCAATGAACTGGAATCGTATTGTCATTCCCTACAATTTTATACAATGTGAAATAATTGGTAAAGCACCCGTATTCCCATGATTTGCCCGAACAGTCATAGTTATAAACACACTGTTCACGGGCATTTATTGAGCACTTTCTTCTTCCTGAGCTCATGCTATGTGCAGGGCCTGTTGTAAGCACAACCAAATCCCCAAGGGAGAAATGAGCATCGTCCCCACTTTAACGGGTGGGGAAACTGAGGCACAGCATTTAAGCAGATTGCCTGTGTTTATGCAGCGTGCCAGTGGCGAGTGGGATTTGCGCTCGAGCAGGAGGACTTCAGAGCACAAGCTCTTAACCAGGCGGTTGGTTTTAAGGTGCCGGGACCAAGACTCAGGCTGCACGAGGGGGCCACCGCCCATCCGCCCATTCCAGGCTCCAGGAGGGCGGGGCTGCCCCCATGTCCACCTTTCCCTCCCTATTGCCTAGGCCACTGCTTGGCCCGCAGTAGAGTGGATGGAGCTGTTCTGAACGCCAGTCTCACGGGCTGTTTTCAGGGAAAGAGGGACAAGAACAACAATGAAGCTCACGTTCTGGCTCCTTAAAAAAACATGAGCCGTGACAGTGTCGGCCCACAGGTGTGGCAGGTGTCTCGTCGGTAGGATAACTGCCTTCAGTGAAGAAAGGGAGTGGTCGCACCCTACAAGCCTTCAGGCTGGGGCAGTGATCGCCAGGACCGACGGCGTTGGGGAATGAGAGATCCTGCTTAATTAACAGAGTCCCCGTCACTTTAATGAAATGCAGCAAAGCACAGTTAGGAACCACCAGTAATACACGCTTGCAAAAATTAGCCTTTCTTTGATGGTTCTAGAAGGCAAAACCTCGCCGTGCCTCTAGGTCCTCATTATGGACACCCCGTGGGCCGTCAGACCCCGGGGGGCTGGTTCACTGGGTTTCTGGTGCGCACTAACGGCTTTCCTATTGACCTCCTCTTGAGAGGCCGTGTTTTTAGAAGACAGCGACTCGCTGGCGTTCTGACATGTGCCCTCAGGGCTCTTTCACGGCTGTTCCAGGGGAGGACTGGAGATGCATATGCACTGTGGTTTGGTCCAGATACAAGGCGCGCGTCAGCGGGGGCAACAATGGCGACAGTCCCGCTCACGGAGCCCTGGGTCAAGGGCTTCTCTACCATAGCCAGCCTCGGTCACGCCACCGTTGTCCATTGAAAGTAAGGCTTCCCAGGACTTGAGCTGAATAGCGCTCAGAGGTAGGGAAGAGGGTCAGGCCTATCATTGGTATGTTTCAAATATCATTCAGGCTGTTTTCCACCTGACTATGTACTTGGGAAACAGCCGCAGGAAATGGAATTAATGCAGAGAGGATCTTCGTGAACCGGGAAGTTTCACTGGGTTCAAGTGTCTCCTTCCTCCCTCCCTCCCTCCCTTCCTTTGAATTCTCTCTTCAAGGGGTGCTCATATAAGGAAAATTCCAAAGCAGAAATTTCACCTACCTTCTAAATTCAGATCAAAGGAATCTTTGGGAGCAATAGTAGTTGCTAGTCAACACATCAAGCGACTAAGTACTTACACATAAATACTCGCCAGATAAGCTTAGCCTTCACCACCTAGCTTGAACATGACCTCTGCCCCGGGGCCCTCTTTCCTGGTCTCCCCAGACCCTGTCAGCAGCACAGCGCTGTCCTTGAATGCCCTGGTAACAGTTGCTCCCACTCCTGAAATAACGCAGGCCCCATTGTGTTCCAACTCATGTCTTTCTTCCCGCCTGGAGGCTGCGCTGCTGGGACGGACGAGTCACCTTGTGTCCCAGCACTTGGTGTGTGTAGGCTGGTACGTGGGAGACGGTTTGTATCTGTTAGATGAATGAGTAATAGCAGAACTCATTAAATTTCATCTTTCATACTGAGCGAGAAGAGGACATGCCATATTGAAATATTTCTAACTTTTAATAATAAACAACTCCCTTTACTGATTTAGAATAAAGGGTTCAGGGCACAATGTTTCTTTTCAATCCCCTTTCTTATTCTCTTCCCCTGGCCCCCCTTGGAAAAGATGTACCTTAAGTTTCATCGATTCCGGGCCTTTCTGAAGAATGCCTCTGTTCCTTTCCAGGCAGGCATCAATGAAAATGACTTTTACGACGGGGCGTGGTGCGCGGGAAGAAACGACCTCCACCAGTGGATTGAAGTGGACGCCCGGCGGCTGACCAGGTTCACCGGTGTCATCACTCAGGGGAGGAACTCACTGTGGCTGTAAGTGCGGCCAGGCCCGCGCTTTTGCAGCCTCTGTGCCATGTGTCTTGTGTTCTGGGGTTTGGACGAAGGCCAGGCAATAGCAGGGGGGTTGGCTGGCGACAGGCAGTAGAAGGGAAGGAAGTTGGAATGTTGACCGGACCTGGGATTGCTGTAGACCCAAGCCCCCCGGGGAAGGTGCATCTCTCAGGACGACAGCCTCCCGCTCCCAGGGACAGGGAAGAGGACCCACCACCCGGCAGGTTAGGCTGAAGAGACAAGGTACAGTCAAAGCAGTGCAGGTTGAGCAGGTGCATTTTTGGTGCCCGGACAGTGGCCTGGACACAGCCTGACGTAGGAGCCCTGGACGAGCATTGAGCAACAGGTGGCGGGTCTCAGCCACTGTCCTGGGGAAGAAGGGACGAGTCTTCCAGCCTCTGAGGAGAAGGGCTGGAGGCCAAGGCAGGTCCCCGGGTAAAGGGCGACGAGAGCAGCTGTAGAGGTAGGCCGGCGTGAGGCCTGACAACGAGATGGAAGCCCATTCCTCGGAGCCCAGCTTGCGGTCGGGGCTGGGTCAGCACCAGGTGACGGACAGTGAGCGCAAGAGAGGTGGGCTGCAGTGCCCTCGGCTCTCTGGGGCCAGTGGCCACACACGAGGGAACAGTATTCAGCTATAAAGCGGCAGGGAATTCTGACAAACGTCACAGCGCGGATGGACCCTGAGGACATTATGCCAAGTGCGATAACCCGGTCACAGAAGGACAAGAGCTGCATGATTGCACTTCCATGGGGTTCCTGGCGTAGGCAGGTTCATAGGGACAGAAAGTGGAATGGGGGGTTGGTGTTTCGCGGGTGTGGAGCCTCACTTTGGGGTGATGGAAAGTTCTGGGTTGGTTGGAGGGGGGATGGTTGCACAACAACGTGAATGTACTTAACACGGCTGAGTTGTACATTTAAAAATGGTTAAAATCAGAAATTTTATGTTAGGTATAGTTTACTATAATAAGTGAAAAAAATATAAGTGCAAATAACACCTCCCCCCCCATAAAAAACACCTCTTTACCTCAACCCAGGGCTGGAGACAGATTCCATATTTGCAATCTTATTATGTGTGCAATTATGTTATTTTTAACTTAACGCATACCCCTAACACTTTCCTGCTGTTACTCAGGCTGCATAATGATTATTTTTAATAACCTGTCATTTACTCAGCCAGGCCTCTAGCCCCATCTCAATTTTCTACTATTACAGATCATTTTTCAAGAAAACATTTTCCTACTTTTTTTCTTTGAATTATTTCCTTTACTAAATCTCCAGACCTGGGATAATTTGTGCATTTCGACAACACTTGCTTATATAGTTGATGCATCGCGTTTTGCCCGCTTCGTGTCTGTGCAATGTGTTTGTATGTACCATTTTCCCCTGTGGTGTGTGTTTCTCTCTAATCAGTGGCTCATTACCATGGCAATTATTCTCACTGTTTAGATTCAGAAAGGCAAGAGTTTTTTGGGGGGGAGTTGAATTACTCAAGGAAAATGGAAACTTGGAAAGAAAGGCTGATTTGAGATTATTCACGGGAACGAGGGTGGGGACTCTGCCTTAATGCTGGGATGTTAACCTGTCTGACCACGATCTTTAGGGGTCCACTGGTTGGGTTATTATTGGAGTAGAAAGAAAACAGCGTAAGAATAACGCTCAATTTCCATTTCAACTAGAAACTCAAGAGGGTTTGTGTGAACGAGAAATTGCAGTAGAACAGTATTTTTCTTTGACTCGATGGAGGACAGGAACATCTAAGAGGGAAGAGAAGGGATAGAATTGCTTTTAGGGAGCAGTTTATTTTCTTTTAATGTCTAAACGTATTTCCAGTCAAACTATTGTTCAAGGACAATGAAAAGAAAGCTGATGAGTGTCAGTTTGTGTTCGTGCCTGAAATAGGACTGTCTGCACGGAGGGCTGAATAAGAAACGAGAGGAGGACACATTTTGGTGTCTGAGTCTCTTTTCCCAGAGGCGTGAATTATGGTGGAGGCATTAGGATCTATTCCACCAGGACCAAAAAGCATGTCAACAAGAGAGACCATCAAATCCTAATAGTAAAGAAGATGGTACTTGTCCCTCTCCCCCTCTGCCAATAACATCTGTGCTCACACGGCTCCCAGGACAGGCAGCTGTGGTACCACTTTTAATATTCTGATGTATGGGTTTCTGTGTTCCTCCCCGAGTCTGAGCACCTTGACGATGGAGACAGTGCCTTGATCACATGTCCCTTAAACCTTGCCATGTGCCAGGCATCTATTAGATGCTTGATCACTGATTCTTTAATGAATGAATATTGTTAGGTAGCAGGGTGACAAAGCTTCAGTCATACCGAATGGTAATGAGTTAATTAATCCGTGAGAGCCAATGACTGAGAGCACACTTAAAATATAAACGGGGAGAGAGGAGAGCCTGGAAAGAGAGAGCTGAGAAGTGACAGAGATTTCTAGTTAGTGACGTGTAAACTGTGGCTTTGGGATCCCGTCATGGCTGTTGGCTCTTGTTGGTTATGAGATTTCCCCTTTCTGAACCTCAGCTTAACCCTTCTCTAGAATAAGACCACTAGTCTCCATCTCATGAAGATGTGGTGAAAGTTGAATAAAACTGTTCTACCACTTTAAACTGTTCTACACAGCACATAACAAGTGCTCAATAAATGGTAGTTTCTCCCCTCTGTACCTCTCTGCGTTGATTTATAACAGTGGTTTTCAGCCTCTGTGTTTAGCCACAGAGCCTTCCTTTAGATAAAATCTGTCTTGGAAACACTTAGAGAAGACAGACCAGTGTGGCTGCTCTGTATGAATCTGGGGTGGGGAGTGTTGCCTGCCCAGCGCCCCATGCCCCCTCCTCACAGAGCATCCCTGGAGGGTGCACTCCAAGTATCTCCGAAACAAGCATCCGAAAATCCTCAAGGGCGCCTCTGCGCAGGTACAATCCTGCCGACACCTCCACATGCTGATTGTTGCTTCTGAAATCCTACGGGGAAACAGGCAGACGTTGAATTCCGACCAGGACAAGCAATGGCAGGCTTGGAGTTATAGCCTGGTTTTTCTAGTTCAATGTGCAGTCGTACTCCAGCCTCTGTGAGTTGCATGTTGGTTGGTAGTGCTTTAGAGATGGAAGGAAAGGGGTGGCCCGCCCCTTGGGGTTGGCCAAGTGGATGTCGCTGTTTACAAATGGCCTCTGTCTGGTTGGTGGAACACAGAAGCTCTTTGGAACTAAGGACAAATGTACCTCAGTTTATTGCACTTCGCTTTACTGTGACTTGCAGATGTTGCGCTTTTTACAAATTGAAGGCAAGACCCTCCACCGTCAAAAAAATTACGCCTTGCCTTATTGAGATACTCACTTTATGGAGGTGGGCTGGAAGCCAGCCCATAGTGTATATATATGAGTTCTGCTAATACTTTTCACTTGTAGAACTTTTGTGGTTGTTATTTTTTTAAAGATTTTATTTATATATTTTTAGAGACGGGGGAAGGAGAAAGAGAGGGAGAGAAACATCAATGTGTGGTTGCCTCTCTTGCTCCCCATCCTGAGGACCAGCCTGGCCCACAACCCAGGCCTGTGCCCTGACTGGGAATCGAACCAGTGACCTTTTAGTTTGCAGGCCCATGCTCAATCCACTGAGCTACACCAGCTAGGGGTGTAGTTGTTATCTTTAAGTGAATAACCATAACCTTGTTTGTTCCCAGTGTTCTCTTCACGTATTTACGGATTTGGTCATCTATTGTTGAACACCCTGTATGAGCACCAGGGACACAAAGGTGAGGAAGAAGTGGCCACCGGCAGGGAGCCTCGAAGCTGGGGAGAGAATCCAGTATGTTAACACGTCTGCTAGAGCCAGCAAAGTACATGCTGATGTGTGATGGGGCTGGAGGGCCGGCCCCAGACCCCAGATACAGAGGAAAAGCAGGTGACGAAGCTTACCCATGGTCCGTGACCAGGTCCTGACCAGGTGGATGAAAAACGCCATGACCCTACTTTTGGTATTTTCAGATAATTCATGCTATTTGAACGTAACAAAATATAATTGTTTCCATGATATCAAATAACATATTTTTCACTGATGTAAATTATCTTTCCCTCCTGATTGCAATTTAGGGAAACATTAGTATACTAATAAAAGCCAATCTTTCATTTCCCTAATTTCTAAAAGTATGTTAGATGTATGAATGTTACAATTATAAACAATGTGATGATGGAAAGTTAATTATTCTGCCTGAGGTGAATAGATGTTTCTAATGACTTGGGCAAAATACAGGCAATTTAAAATAACCAAATGTTTTCCATTTTAATTGTTTAATAAGAAAAATGATTGTCATTATCTCTTGAGAGTCTGTAAACAGGTCCTTAGAGTGAGGTGGCAGTTTGACTGATGTGCCTGTGAGGTGAGGGCTGCGGAAGGCTGGACCCCTGGGCTGGACGTTTAACCAGCCGGCGGCTAATGAGGGTGGGCGGGATGCAGGCTCCGCCGGGCGCCTGAACAAGGCGGCTTCCGTTTGCCAGGGGAAGTCTCAGCCGCGATTCCGAATGTGGGCTTCGCTTCGAGAACTCTGATGGTGAGAGGAGGGAGGGAGGGGGCGGATGAGGTATGAACCCAGAAGGCCAAGGAAAGGTCCGTGTCCCTGTTTCTTTCTGGAGGACAGCCGTGTCCATCGGAGAGGACAGTGCTGATGGGGCAGGTCCCTGAGGGGCGTGGGTGGCGGTGGGATGAGGGGCTGCCATGGTTCAAGTGTTCGCTGTGGAAGGAGAAGGGTGTCCTGGTCCCCCGAGATGCTATGTGTGGGGGCTAATTCTGGGGGGATTCGGAGCCTTCCCCCCGGGGGGGTTATATTCTTGGCAAGGTAGGGGGTGGGTCCTCCGCAGACAGTGAGCATGGCGGGTTTAGGGGTTGGCAGCAAAGGAAGGGACCGGGGGGGGGGGGGGGGGGGGCTCTCTGTCCAGGTGCAGGGAGGGCTCAGCTGGACTATAATGGCCCCG